ACTCGAGGCATCGGTCATGCTGAGTTATATTGTGCTGTGGGTAGCCGTATGGCGTGAATCCTAGATTGTGAATTGTGGAATGTGAATGTGGCCGTTTGGCAATTTTATACAATTGTTCGAATTAAATGGAATTGCATGGTGATATTGATGTGAATGTGCATAATTGTATGTACTTGCATAATGTGAGTAATGCTTGAATATGTTTGTAAACATGTGTGCATTTTAAGAGTGTTTTGAGTCGTGTTGCATGGATAGCATCATGATTGCATTCTTGTGTGTCTGATCCCACGTAGGATCTGCAGAAACCTCGTGTGCCCTTGTGGGGTGTGAGCGATGGTTTAGTTACTTTGATCCCTAGGAGGATATGCATAAACGATTGTGTACCCTTGTGGGGTGTGAGCGATGGTTTATTTTGATTCCGTGGAGAATCTGCAGAACAGTTGTGTGCCCTTGTGAGGTGTGAGCAACCGGATTGTGCGCCCGTGTGGGGTGTGAGCAATCCTGAAACATCGTGTGTCCATGTGGGGTGTGAGCGATGGGTGAACATCGTAGGCCCGACGGGGAGTTACTTCGGTAACGAGCGATGGTTCCACTTTGGTTATTCAATTGAACCTGCTGAACGAGTCGGTACCGTATTTGCATCTGCATGGAGTCGTGAGTCGGTCTCTATGAGTTGCATTATCATCTTTATATGATGTTTTGGTGAAATAAACATAATTGTAAATGTTTAAGTGAAATGTTATGAATTGTGAAGCATGAATTGGTGAATGTGATTGATTATGTACGTGTACATTGTGATGTATTGTAACAAGTTGTGGTGAGAAATGTGAATTTCGTGTATGATATAATTGTGTTTTATGATATATATAATTTTATGCATTGTTTGTTATGATAATGTTTCTCACCCTTCTGCTGTTTTATAATGCTCTTTGAGGCATTGCAGAGTAGGATGCTGGAGGTCTTTTGTGAAGCGAGTCTTCATTTCTTTTGGTCAGATGGCTCTGATATGTAACACTGGGTAGTTAGAAATTGTTTGATTCTTTTGTGATACATCTGTGTATGTATCTGTTGCTGAATGTTTTGTAAACTTAACTGATGAATTGAATTAGTCTGAATGATGTATATGATGCTTATGTTCATGAAGTGATTTCAATGTTTAGATGTTACCGCTTTATTCTAAATGTTGATATGTGGGTTTTAAGCGCTATGCTTTGTTTTTAGTTGAGATTTACCCCTTTTGTTACATATCTTTACGAGCAGGTATTATTTATGTTTCGTTTCGTTGATAATGTGATGCGCCTCTTTTATACCATGTTATAGTTATACTCTGATGGAATTTTATTAAGTGCCTAAATGATTTAATTGTTTATTTTGGGGTATAGAAAAGGGCTGTTACATTGGGTGTCTAACTTCTTCCTAATGGAATATTCGAGGCCTCCTACGGCCATTTCGACCAACTCATGTTCAGGTACCTGGGTGAAACATCTAGCCTTGAGCAGTCAAAACCTATTGAGGTACTCTTCGATTGGCTCAGAAAACTTACGTTTCACACTAGCAAGTTCCTTTAGACTAATCTTGGTTTGACCCATATAAAACTGTTCATGGAATAAACGTTCCAACTGGGTCCAATTACACACTGAATTATGGGGTAGCGTTGTAAACCAAGTGAAGGCATTTTTAGTGAGAGAACTTTGGAAATATTTTATTCTAAGGCTCTCATCATTGGATATCTCTCCTGCCTCGATTATATATCGAGCCACATGTTCGACAGTAGATTCCATCGTATCTCCTAAGAACTTAGTGAATTTGGGCACTTTCGTTCTAGGAGGTAACTCGGCCTGAAGGATGTAATCCACTATTGGAGATGTATAGTTTGGCCTAATGAACCCAGTTTACACCGTTTCGAGCCATGATTCTTTCGACCATAGCCGCTAAGTTGTTATCGACCACTTTGTTATTACGTCGAACCTGCTGGACGACATTATCTGCGTCTTGGTTACGATTCACTATAATTACTCCTGGGTCCCTTTCTCGTGGGATTGGTATCTGTTCCCTTAGGGGTTCGACCCTGTCTGGTTCAAGCCTAGGGAGTTCAACTCTCCATTGGTTCTCTAAATTGGGCTCAGTTAGGTTCCCCAAATCCCGTCGTGGCATGTTTTCTACTGGGGCCTGGTTTCTAACCATAGGAGGTACTCCCATAAATTCAGCCAACCGTGTCACCTGCGCTGCCAACTGTTGATTGGTTTGGTTCGTGTTTTGGATTAATGGCTGAAAAATTTCGCCCATGGTCTGGGACAAAGTTTGAACCATCTGCAAATTGCTCTCATCCATTTGCTGTCTTAAGCACGCCACCGAAGTATTGGTTAAATTAGGGCCCTGCGTCGAATATCCCAGGCTTAGACTTTGGGGATTTTGACCAATGTTCAACCCTGACCCTGATGCTTGCAATGGCGAAGCCATTGCATTATCTGAAAACACTGGAGGAACATTTAGGAGCCCTTGCATTACAGCTGTGGGCATCCCGTACGGGGGATTTCGCGGTAGTTGCGAAAACCCGGGAGGAGCAAACTGTCTAGACGCTGAATTTCCTCCCAGTGGAGTCTGGGGATTCGACACTTGAGGTCCAATATGCTCCAACAATAGTTGGTTATGAGTCCTCACGGCGGTCGAAACAGGCCCCAATACTGGTGGTACTGGTTCCACTCTTGTCAGATGCACCACATTCTCTATGGTCGAAGGTATCGAAGGTGGAACTACATCGTTTCTCGGTCCTTCGTTAGAACCGTCTCCTTGAGAGTTAGGGTTGTTTGGCTGATTACTTCCTGTTGCCATATTCCTAACGCTTCGTCTTGTTAGTCTTTCTTCGTTTACAGCAGCAATTTTACCACTTCTTAGTAACATAAAACGAACTTTTTATTTGCGAAAGACCAATAAAAATTACAATTCTGCAAATTTTGCTTATACTTAGTAAAAACTTTTAGCACTGTCCCACTGGGCGTGCCATTTTGCTTCTCTTGAAAAATGGAAAACAACAACTGATCTTCCAAATCTAACTTTGGTGACTCACAGGATTGATCAGATTGATCCTAGGACATGTGCTAAAGGTTAAGTTTTGAAATCTATCTAAGTTTCACACTTCGACAATATTGTTGCAAAAGGTTCTAATGATAAAATTGCCTATTCGACTGAAGAAAAGTAGAGGAAAGAGTTTTAGAGAGAAAGGGATAGAAGTTTAGAAAGAAATTAAAGGCGAATGATAAAGTAAAACGCATAGAAAAGAGAGAGGTTGCAAGAAAAGTAAAGAAACTTTGTAAAGTTAAGCACATAAGGTAAACTTCATTGAAAAGTAAAGATGGTGTGTTTACATCACACGTACATTCTCCTTAATACTCTTTTCTCTACACTCAGATACTTTGAGTAAACTTAGGAGTGACTTGCACAAATAGTAAATTACAACACCCTGATTCTATCTCTAAAAACTCCTATTTATAATAGTAAAAAAATAACTAACAATAACCACCTAAGGCTATCATCTTCCGACACATGTCACAGCGCATGAAGTTTTTTGCCCAACGAGTGCCATTTGTCCCTCTTAGTCATAAGAAAGTATAACTACTCCCTCCATTATTTGAATTTCGAATATTTTGTTAATTTCCAAACAACCATCTCGGTCGAAGGTCAAACTCTTCAACATCCAGAATTTTCTCTAAGTCCCCAGAGCATTTTAGCTTCCTCTTTTCGACGGTCTCGGGCCTTTCGACAAGCTCTTTAAAAGACTTTAATATTTTATTTAAAATATCTTAATCCATACATGGTGTCGAATTTATGGACTAACACCCGCCGCATCACACTTTTATTTTTAATATACTGTAATGACTTGACACTTTAAAATAATTTTATTGGAGGTCTAAATAATATTTCTGACAGTGTACTACCTTTAGGCTATGTTTGGATATTGTAAAATGGACTCAAAGTGGAGTAGAATGAAGCGAAACGGAACGGAGCGAAATGAAATAAATATTTCATTTTATTGTTTGAGTATTTTATGGCGAAATATAGAAATTTTGTAATTCCGCCTAAATCGAATGATACAAAAAATAATGGAAAGTGATGAAATAGGATAAAATGCATCCCATCCAATTCCTCCATTCCTTTTGTTTTTAATCAATGCAAACAATACAATTGAAGATTATACCATTCCATTCTAACCATCCAAACATACCCTTAAACTCTATTATTATTATTATTATTAACATTAGTAAATTACAATAAATATAAATACGTCTAATTATCTTTATATTAAGTCACTTTGCAAAAAGTGAATTCTTCATTTTCCTTTAACCCGGCCACTGTAATTCAAGAACGCCGCCACTGTAATCAAGACGTCGCCACTGTAACTCAAGGACGCCGCCACTGTAATTCAAGACGCCGCCACTGTAACTCAAGAACGCCGCTGGTTCGTATTGTGATTTTTTTATCTCTTCACCATTTTTTTATTTTACTTTTCATAAAAACTTCATTGTAACGGACGCGAAACTCCGCGACGGCGGCTACATGCGCCGTATTGTTGTCGTGAAATGCATCTGAGGCAGCCATAACCGTGATGCCCGTCGCACCTGACATCACTGTAGCTTGCATCGGCCGCTCCTCTCCGCACTGCCGCAATCGCCACCAAATTCATCTTAATAGTCGCAAAATTGAAACGAGTTCTAGTTTTCGCAAAACTCATGGAAATGATTAAACCGTTTATTATTCAGAACTGGTTCACCGAATCATAGAACTGGTTCGGTTTGGTTTATATTTGATGCAATTGTCTTTTTCTTGCTGAACCAGGGTTAGTTCTTGAGGAAAAAGGGTTAACATTTGTGATGGGTGAAAGTCATAATGAGAATTAAGAAACTTGATATGTGTTTTAGTTATGTAAATAAGAGCCCGATCCCTTGCAAGTGTTAAATCACATAAATATTTGTTGTCTGTTGTTGTTGCAGAAGAAAGCAGATATGGAATGTGTGGTTCAGGGAATTATTGAGACACAGGTGAGTTTATATTTTCTTTCGGCTTTCAATTAGTCTTAGGATTATTATTTTTAAGAATGTGGAAGATGTTTTGTAGTAGTTTGATCAGGCTTAAACTTTTTGCATTATGCTAGTTTAGTCTGACGTGATTCATCATATTCATTTAAGTTTTTGGGTAACATGGATCAAACAATGCTAAAATTCCCTATCATATTGCAAATCTGTTTTAATAGTTTGGCCCAGAGTAGTCATTCCTGGATGGCGGCTCGCAAAAGCGGCCGACCCCAAAAGTGGAATAGCGGGATGACCACTCCATTTGATTATTTTTTGGAAAAATTACATATAATAATTATGAACATATATTAAATTTAAAATTAAACAAATAATTCAACTCATAAAATATTCATAAATCAAAGCACACATGACTCTTGAAGTGCATAAATGACCTACGAAGGAAGGTTAAGGTTGAGTCTCAATTCAAATTTGATTGATAAACCTAAAATTACCCTTAAAACATTGTAAATTTAAGGGGTAATTTCGGTTTTTTAGAGGGGAAATGAAAAGCGGGCTTAGAAACCGCTCTTGGTCGGGAACTGCTCTGTTCCACTATCCGCTATTTATCCTATTTATTCTATAGTATTTGTATTTTGCACCGCTCACCGCTAAGGCTCTTCTCATAGCGGTTGGTCTCCACTCCACTTTGCTATAGCGGGATCGCCGCTATTGGCAGGTATTGACTACTCTGGTTTGGCCTATAGTTTTTCACTTTTTCTTAATTTCCCTTTACCTCTAGTTATCAGAATATCCTCCATCTTGCTTCATATTACAACAAAAATCTCCATTTCAATTGTGTAATGTGGGAAATAGTGGTTTTTCCATATTCCATTTCGTTACTGTTCTAGGCTGGTATTTAACAATACTTACTATGTCCTGTATCGTGTAATAATAATGGTTTGTCAAAATTCTGCTCTGCTATAGTGCTGCTATATCTGTTATTAAGCTCATGTTTTGTTTTTGCCTTTTTCATAAGTTGAAGAAGCTATTTAATGTTTTATAAGATTATAACTGTTGTCTAGTATTTTTCTTCTTCTAGTAGCTTTGTTATATGTGAACCTGATAGTGTGATATCCTACTATTTGGTTTGGATTTGGAATCACCACATGACATCTCATTACAATTAAATATTTGCACGTATTTGCTTGTATTTGAATGTCCCTAATTGCTTGTATTTGCACGTCCCTATTTTATTCTGTGTTCATTAGAATTAGATATTATTTGATGGAAGACTCTAAATTACAATAGTCTTTGAACATAAAGAATTAATTCATCTTTCTTTTGCTTTAGATCCATAAGCCGTGCTTTAAGATTATCAAGATGTGGTGTTAAAAGATTCTTTATTTTGCAGCATGTTGAGGCCCTTGAGATTCTTCTCCAGGGGCTATCTGGTGTTAAAAGAGAACGATTGAGGATCCATGAAATATGTCTTAAGAATGGTCCAAATCTTGGTGAGTGTTTTCTTTCGATACTATTATGCAGTGGCCAATAACATTTCCTCTATTTGTTTTATATGTGTGTAATTTGACTTTTAATGATGAATGAAAAAAGAGCATTCTCCTGGAAAAAATAAACACGTAACTCACATTTTGAGAAATAAATGTCTTTAAAATAAGGGCTTCAAATACTCTACATGCATTTCTAGGAAAGCAAGCCCTTGAGAGTGCCCGTGAGAGGAACAATATTGAAATGAGAGATTAACAAGTATGTTCCATCACTGTTTCAAACACAAGTCCACGAATTTAGTAATAGAGCACAAATCACTTCTCCCTAGAACCTTGCTCAATGCAATCTTGAAAGTTTCCTCAAATTATGAGGAAATAATCAGGATCCTTTGGAAGCCCCAGATAGTGAAATCTGGATAACCAGACTTTATTGGCAGCAGGCTACTATAAGATAAAGTGGCTTACAATTTTCTGAATGTTTTATGCACATATTGTGTAATCTGTATAAAGTTGTTGCCTCAGAGTGTACAATAATATTATCATTTAAATATTTACATTGGTCAGTAATATTTCCAATTCTGACCTGTGTTGTACTTTGGTTTTGGCTTTCTAAAAGAGGAGATGATTCATCACTTTCACATTTCTACATGCTATGGTTACTTATTTTACTCTTTCTGTTCTATGGCATGGAAGATATTTATGGATCTTTAAGATTGTAGGTTTATTCTTTATAGCATTGTTCATAGATGGAATTGAAAAGTTCTCAAATCTTCAATAACTCTCAATATTTTTGTGTCGTTTTCTTGAGCAAAATTTAAATGTCCAGTTTTCATACAAGTATTTCATATAATGATGTTTTGTCAAATTGATTATAATTTTATTCTTTTTCTTTCTAGGCACAGTGGCCTCAGAGGTTCGACTTCTATGTGATCTAGAGCAAACTGAACCATCATGGTAAAAATGCAATTTCAAGAGGATCATTTGTTGGATGTTTTTTCATATCCATATAAGGTGTGCTTGACGACCTTTTCAGGACTGTTAGACATGTAGGTGGTGCAATGAGGGGTGCTGGTGCTGATCAAATTTCAGTTCTAGTTAGGACAATAGTGGAAAGCAAAGTGAGCAAGAACGTGCTTCGAATGTTCTATACATTGGGGTACAAGTTAGACAATGAGCTGCTGAGGGTGGGGTTTTCCTTCCGATTCAATTATAGGGTGGCAAATGTCAGTGTGGCGCGAATCACTGTTACAGTTTCGTCAGTCAATAAAATGATGAAGCTGCATGCGACTGACGAGGCCGTGCCAATAACACCTGGCATACAGATTGTCCAAGTAACAGCACCTGCTACTGCTGAAAACTATACCGATGTTGCTGCTGGTATGCAATCCTTTTGCGAATACCTTGCCCCGTAAGAATCTTCTACTCTTCTCAACTTGACATTTCTCATTCTTTTTGGTTTGTTCTTCATAATGAATGTGATCATTGACAAATGCAACTCTTTGTTGTCAATATCTCAGGCTTCTTCATCTGTCCAAACCGGGCGTTTCAACTGGTGTTGTTCCTACTGCTGCCGCCGCCGCTGCATCTCTAATGTCTGATGGTGGGGGTACGCCTTTGCAGTAGGCTGATAATGTTGTATGCGCATACATACATACATACATAACTTGATGTATGTCAAAGTTCCATGGTCATACCAATTTTTTCTTCACAAAAAGATGAATTTTTTCAGTTAACATGGTTACGAGGAAGACTAAAATGATAGAACAATGTTAGTTACTTCATGATCAATCAGTTGGTAGGTAGAGGAAGAGTTACTTTTGGCATGTGATTGTATTTAAGGAACATATGTTTTTAGAGATGCTTGTTTTATTTTTACTACTTTTATGATAGTGAGTCATTTTTGAACATGATTTTATGAAAATTGCTACACTAGGCAACTAGTGATCCAAAGATGATTTGTGGTGGGAAAATAGAATAAAAGACTAGAAAAAAAAAATCTAAAACATATTAACACATCATTCTAAGAATCGTGTTTAGTTTATTTAAACAAATGAATGCGAGATTGAGAGAGATATAGAGAATAGGGAGGGAAGGAGAAAAAAGTGTAAAGGATCAAACATAACTTCAAAGTTCAAACCAAACATAATCGGGTAACTATGTTAGATTTGGCTTTTTGTATTGTCTCTTTTGGGGCAGTTTTATGCAAAACTATTCGAAAACACATAAAAAGGTCTCAAACATTGTTCCTCAGCATCATTTTGACTACAGCACAAATTTCAATTTTCATAAAAATAATAAATAAAATAAAAATTTCAATTTTCATAAAAGTAATAAATAAAATAAAAATTTCAATTTTGGGTGTCACTGGATCATTTCTCTATATCTAATAGTGTAAGGTTTTACTTAATAGTGTAAGTTCATATTTAAAAAGAAAATAATGTTTAGTTATATAATCACATTAGTGCATCTAAGTTGATATTCTCATAACTTAATACTTTTTTTTAAACAAGCTTTATGTATTTAGTTTAAGTTTGATAATTATAATTTGTGATGGTTTGTGTAGGCTCATGCATATAAGATATATAATAATAACATTCTATATTTTTCTTTTACTATAATATGACTTTGAACTTTAAGATAAATGATTATTGATAGTTCTTTATGAATTTGAGTAAATCAAAATTTTTGGTATTAAATTAGCGATGACAAAAATTTATTGATGTCTTTATTGAATTAGTTTGTTATAACTCTTTATCATTATAAATAAAATAAAAATATTTATAATTATAATTTTAGTTTTGGTATTAATCTTTTGTTTAAACTTACTTGAATTGGAAGTGATCTTGACGGCTTATTAGAGTCTGAAGTGGGCCAAAGACTTTGTCAGCGATGCTGGGTTGTAAAGATGAGGAAGAGGATGTATCTGCAAGGCACTCTGATGCTAAAGTAAGAATTCGGATAAGAGAAGTCAAATATAAATAGAGTATGTCGTAGGGTGATTTAGAATGATTTAAAATACCTTACCCTCTCAAGTGAGAGGGTATTAATGCCCCAAGTGCCGATCCTTATTTTCGGGAGATATTCCTTCTCAAAGAGTAGGTAACGGCTAGAAACTAGTCATTGGGACGGGCAATGGTGCTCGGAACTAACTATTACCACGGACAGGGGTGTGGTTGCAGGCACAGGCGTCGTGACTGTTTTTGTATGGTGGAACCGTGCGTGACGGGCATGAATGTGTCGAGGGACAACTGATTATGGGGGTCAGCAGGTCACCCTTCCTCGACAGAGGAGCAGAGGAGAGAAGGCTCCCCTTTGCCCTTAGCTGGCAGGACTAAGGCTATTGGGTTGTGCTGGGCACAAAAGTGGATTGGGCCATGCCTAGTCATTGGGCCAGTCTGGAACAAGAGCCTCCCAAGTCGTTGCTCCTGAGCATAGGAGTGATGACTTAAGGGCAGTCCGCGGGTCAAGGAAGAGTGGGCGTGAACCACGCCCGTTACTGAGATGAGGTCGCTTCGTAGTGCTCGAAAGCGCCCGGGAGTGATGACTTAAGGGCAGTCCGCGGGTCAAGGTAGAGTGGGCGTAAACCACGCCCGTTACTGAGATGAGGTCGCTTCGTAGTGGTCGAAAGCGCCCGGGTTCGGAGAATCTGGAACATTGTTCTGAATGCCCGACGGACGGGGAGCCCAACGGTTGATAGAACTTGAAGGGATGGAGCGCCACGTGTGCATCGAACCACGTGTTGCATTTAATGTGTAATGATGATTATGCTAGGGTTATAATGACGCCCCAACGCCGAGCACGCGCTTCTGCTATGCCTATAAATAAGGGTTAGGATCGTTCATTTTTACTTTTCGCTTCTCTCTCCTCTATTGCGGCTTGTCTCTAATTCCGTCATCCGTCGCCATAAAGCCGTCGTACGAGCACTGACCAACCTTCGTCGACCAGCCTTTTTTCTTCTTCGACCCTATAAGTTTTCTTCATCCTTTCCGTTTTACGTGTTTCAATCTTTGTTTTGCTTAGACTTCATGTGGTTAGGATGAAACTGGATAGAGTAAGGGTGGTTTCCGGCGAATGTTGGTGGTTGGGGGTGGTTAGGCCGTTTTTCTCCGTCGTCGCTGAAGCGTTAGGAACTTAGGATTTTTGTTGATTCTGACACCGTTGCGACAACGAATGAATTAGTCATTGGTGGAGTTTATGTGTTTTCCGGTGTACTCATGAGTTTTTCGATGGGCCTTCATCGGAGTTCTGGTAACGCACTGTGGAGGATCCTCCCTGCGTGGGTTTGAAAGATTGCTAGGGGCGTCTTTTCGCGCCGTTGTTGCGTTGTTTGAGTAAGGGATTTAGTCGGGGATGTTGTCCTCGGGCCTTCATGCGCCCTTTCACTTGACTGGCGGTGGAAGGATGAATTTAACTTTGTCATCGAATTCACTTTTGTCCCTGCTTTTCAGGTAAAGGAGATATCTCACGATCCCGAGGAAGAAATCACGAGGGAGTTGTCCGAGAAAAGCTCTTCAGATGATAACAGTACTGACGAAGTTTTTGCGCTCAAGAATGTCGGCGAACGTCTGCCCCCAGTAGTTTCAGGGAAGACTGGATTGTCGATGAGCCTCGTGAGCATGCCTCCCTTTTCACTTTTCACCCTCAAGAAGCTTTCACGACGGTGGGAGCTGAGGGAGACTGAAGGGTCCACTTCCCTAGGGAGAACGATCAGATATGCTCGGCATACGGGGAAAGGTTCCCTATGTACGAGTTTTTCTTCAAAGAAATCGGGTTAAGGCTGCCCTTCACGGACTTTCAAGTGGCAGTTTTCGGACATCTAGATCTAGCGCCCTCCCAACTGCACCCGAACTCGATTTCCTTCGTCCAGGCATTCGAGATAACATGTGAATTTTTGGATATTGAAGCCACTATCCTCCTCTTTTTCACCGTCTTCCATCTTCAATGCCAGGTTACCGAAAGACGGTTCGGTTGGGTCTCTCTGAAGCAGGGGATGAAATTGTTCAAGCCTTTCTCCAAGTCCATAAGGACGTTTAAGGAGAGGTTTTACGTTGTTCGTCTGGAAGGTTACGACAGACGAGAACGGGGATCCCATCATTAATGAGGAGAGCAAGGTACAGGGGCAAAGTGTCGCTACTGCGAAAATCGGCGCCGGCTGAACAGAAGAGTCGCCACCGTGCGTTATTTATCCCAACGGAGGGAAAAGAAACGCTCAGAGTAAACCTACCGCAAAGACGGGAAAGGAATGGTCATCGCAACCAAATCCTGGATTCGGGAGTCGGTTACGCAAGGGGAAGGTATTAGCACCCCTCACGTCCGTCGTACTCGACGGGATCCACGCTTGTTTTCTGGTACAGATTGTTATTCTATCTACTCTACAGGTCAGGGGTTAAAAGAAAATAAAATGACTCGGCAAAGTATCGCACTTTATGCCTACGTATTCCCGTCTGGAACGAGAAATCAGAGTCAACGTAGTTCGCCTACCTACGGGAAAGGAGGGGAAGGTTGCTCGCTAGGATATCACATCCTATGCCTACGTACTTTCATACAACATGAAAGATCAGAGCAAACGTAGTTCGGGCCACGTACGACACCAGTCTGTTCTGATTGTTTTTATCTCCTTCTGAAAAAGGGCTTTTCTGATTACTGGTCCAAGCGGACAAAAATGACGTTTTGATGAGTTCACGTTCTTTTACGAAAGAAGTGTCTTTTATTGTGTTTGAAATATTATTGTGTTTTTCTGTTTGTTTTTGAGAAAGGAGAGACAGAACTCTAACCTATGGTTGCAAAGGGAATCAAAATAACCTAATGTTATCATGCATGGGTTAAGACCTAATGTCTATCATGCTCCTCTCTTGCGCAGAGAGAAACAGAGATCCTAAAGGATAAACGGAAACAGAAACAATAGCATATATACAATAAAGCAGTAAAATGCATGGATGCAGCAATACAAGCGAGGCAAGGGAGTCCCACTCAACTTCGAACCTAGAAAACAACAGGCAAAAGTGAACAGAATTCACTTTCAACCTAACAGGTTAAATGGCAAACAATACAGTCAAGGAAATTCAGACAATACATCAAAAATTATAAACAGCAAAAAGCAGCAAAAGCAGTCCTCATCAACACCTGTCTTCAAGTCATCTTCAACCATCTACAAGCTTCAAGCAAGCATCAGTCTTCATCTTCAAGCCTTCAAGCAAGGTTTCTATCTTCAATCCTTCAATGGCTTTTCTTCAAGTCTCACTTTCCAAGATGATCAGCAGTCAACAAGATGAATAAGATGTTAAGCAGTCAATTGCCTACCAAGGGTGGCCTACTGACTGTTAACATGATATAGACAGTTTTCTCTCAAAAGTTCTATCTTTTAAATACATTCACTAATCCTTCCAAAGGAAGGAGGTGGGTATTTAAAAGAGACTTTGAATCATAGAGAAAGAATGGAGGCAGACAAGACCTTCCATGTTTGTGAATCAAGTTTCCTACTCTAGAGCTCTGCCTAACTCCTAGATCCTATAACCTTCAACAGCTGCCAGCAAGAGATACTCTTCATCTGCTCCTGAACTGAGTCTTCATTCCTTTAATCTTCAATGGGCTTCATCAGCACAGTCTTCAGCTCAAACCCAAAC